ATTGGATTCCTGATCAAGATAGATGAAGCCAGGCTATGATTCTTCTGAAATGAACCATTTTGAATGTGTTAGGACAGCATGAAATTAATCTTGCTGAAGTTTTGTCTTTCATCCACTGATATGACACTTAATTTTTAATCTATGTCTTTGGCACATATTAAGAAGTTATCCAGTTTATTAAATAATTTTTTTAGAGACAGATCCAAATAAATAATTATTGTTTTGTCTGCCAGGTTTCAGTGCTAATATAATACCTTTGAAAATCCTTCTTTCCTCTACTGGTGCTCAAATTCAGAACACAGAACACATGTATTCTGCTTATCCTTGGCTTCTTTTTTTTTTAAAAAAAATATTGTTTTTTAAGACAAACATAGACAAACAAAACATAAAAACATCAAGCCATCTTCCACACCATACAGTGTGTCGGTTGGTTTACAAATTGTTTTGTGCTTCCATTTCGTAGTCTTCAATTACAATTACATTGTATATATTCTCATATTTTCAATCAAATATTAAATACATTAATATCATTTTTAATCATTTGACTATGCTATTATTCATTCATATTTTACAAAATAATCCATATTTTACTTAATTTGTTTTATGACAGTTCATATTATCATCTCAAATCTATCCTACAATCATTTTGTAGATATAATAAGAAAAAAAATACATCTTTATATATTTATTATTTTCTAAAGATCTACATATTTCATTACCATGTTTTATTGTCTAACCATTGATAGAATAGATCCCAAATTTTATAAAATTGTTTATCATCTTGTTCTCTAATTTCAAATGTCAATCTACTCATTTCAGCACATTCCAATATTTTCTTAATAATTTCCTCCTGTGATGGTATTTTCTCATTTTTCCAGTTTTTGGCAAATACAATCCTAGCCGCTGTTAATACATTTACAATCAGATATTTCAATTCTTTACTATATATTTCAGGTAAAATTCCCAATAAAAATATCTCTGGTTTCAAGTCTATATGCTTTTTTGTCATTTTTTTCCAACCACGTGTGGATTTTAGTCCAATAATTTTTGGCATCCGCACAAGTCCACCACATATGGTAATATGAGCGAGGTATCTGATGACATTTCCAACATTTTTCAGATTTGTTCTTGAACATTCTTGCTATTCTTGTTGGAGGAAAATGCCACCTGTAAAACATCTTATACAATTTTTCTTTATATGCTATTGACATTGTCATTTTATAATTTTGAGACCACAATTTTTGCCATTTCTCTAGATCAATCCCATATCCAAAATTCTTCCCCCAAGCAATCATTGTTTCTTTAACTTGTTCTTCTTCTAGTTTAATTTCTAATAAATATCCATACAATTTTTTAATCACCTTTCATTAGTACCTGTCAAAATCTTATCTAAATCAATCAGTTTATCATAGAAATCTTCTGTTTTAGAATCTTTGTCATACCTTGAATGTATTTGCGCATATGAAAACCAATTCATCTTTATACCTTGTTCCGCTAATTTTTGCATAGATTTAAGTTCACCCTTTTCATTCAATATTTCACCATATCTAACTGTTTGTTCCTTTTTATATATTATAGGATAAGAAATGCTTCAATAGGCGATAGCCAGACTGGAATTTTCAAATAACATTGCCTTTTAGTCTTCTCCCAGTTTAACCACAGAGACTCCCATATATAATGTCTTCTAAAATACCCCTGTGTTTTAGTTCCTTTATACCATAAAAAAGCATGCCACCTCAACAACAGATAATGTCCTTCTAATGTCAACAATCTAATGTTATCCATTCCTTAACCCACATCAGGTTTGTACCTTGGTAATACAACTCCCAATTAGGCAAACCAAATCCTCCTCTTATTCTGGCATCTTGCAAAAGTTTTAACTTTATTCTCGCTTTCTTACCTTGCCATATATATTTCAACACAATTTTATTTAAATCTTCAAAATAATCTTTTCCAAGCCTAACTGGAATTGTTTGAAACAAATATTAAATTCTGGGTAATATATTCATCTTGATTGTTGATATTCTCCCTATTAATGACAGTTGTAAATTTTCCCATTTCACCAAATCAAGCGCTATCTGCTGCTTAAGTTTCATATAGTTATTCTCTTTTAGTGTACTACATCTTGCTGTCAAATGTATCCCCAAGTACTTGATCTTATTCGTGACCTGGATTTTCAATACATCCACCTGTTCTTCCTTTTGTCTTGATAGCATATTCTTTGTCAAAATAATTATTTTGTCTTTATTTATTTTCAAACCTTTCCATATACCTCTATCTTTTCTATCAATTTTAATTCTGTTTCTAGTGGGTCTTCTAAAATGCAAACCAGATCATCTGCAAATGCTTGCAACTTAAATTCTTCCTTTTTAATTTTTATCCCTTTTATATCCTTTTCTTCTCTAATATTTCTGTTTAACACTTCCAAGGTTAACACAAACAACAAAGGTGACAGCGGGCACCCTTGTCTTGTTCCTTTTCTTATATCAGTAGAGTCTGTCAGTTCTCCCTCTATCATTACCTTTGCAATTTGGTTATGATTTATAGCATCTATTGCTTGAATAAATTTTTCACCAAAGCCCATCTGTTCCAGTTGTAATAACATGAATCACCAATTCACATTATCAAATGCCTTCTGTGCATCTAAAAATATCAAAGCCATTTGTTTTTCAGGGTGTGCCTCATAGTATTCCAAAGTGTCCAAGATTACTCTCATGTTGTCTTTAATTTGTTTCTTTGGCAGAAATCCATTTTGATCAGGGTGGATAAAATTGTTTAGGTATTTTTAAAGTCTTTCTGCCAATATTGAAGGCAAAATTTTATAATCTTTGTTTAGTAAGGAAATAGGTCTATAGTTCTTGATTTGTAATGGATTGACCTCCTCTTTTGGGACAAGTGTAATATAAACTTCTGACCATGATTTGGTATCTTCTTCTTTAACATAACTTCATTCATAATTTCTAGCAATGGAAGGTTCAACGATTCTTGTAGTGTTTTATAAAATTCTGCTGGAAGTCCATCTGGTCCTGGTGCCTTTCCATTGTTTTGCTTCTTAAGTGCTTCAGCTAACTCCATCATTGTTATATTGCTTTCTAACATTTTTTCAGTCTCTTTAGGTATCTGCGGTAGATTAGCATTCTATAAGTACTGTTTAACTCTTTCCTCATCAATATTCTCTTTTGTGTATAGTTTCCTATAATAGTCTCATATAATTTCCTTCTTCTCTTTACTTCCATAGCAAACGTGGCCTTGATCATCTATTAATTAAAATATTTTCCTTGATTCTTTTTCCTTTCTCTATTTATATGCTAACCATCTACCTGGTTTATTTGCATCTTCAAAATGGTTCTGTTTAGCACCTCTGATTTTCTGTGCTAATTCTTCTTTTTCCATTACTCCCTTTTTATGTTTAATTATATCCATTTTTAACTTAATGTCCTTTTTCTGTGGCATTTTCTGTAGCTCTTTTTCAAGTCCTTTATACTCATCATCTAATGTCTTAGAAGCTAGTCTTTTCATGGTATTTATTTTCCTTGTATAGTCTATTATCAAGCCTCTGGCATATGCCTTCATTATATCCCATATGTTCTGCATTGATGTGTCTTCTTTTTTATTTTCTCTAAAGAAAAAAGTCAGTTCTTTCTCCATCCATTGTGTGAAGTCTTTTTCCTTTAATAAAGTATTATTTAACATCTGTCTAGATCTTCTTCTTTGTCCTTTCCATTTAATTGTCATTGGATTGTGATCTGCCCAAGTACTTGTTTCAATATTTATTTCTTGGATGTTAGCTAACAATTCTGTTGACATCCATATCATATCTATTCTGGACCATGATAAATGTCTGTTTGAATAGAAGGTGTATTGTTTAGTCTTAGCATTTCTTTCTCTCCATGTATCTTTTAAATTTATTTCATCTATCACTTTAAAGAAGGATTTAGGGAGGGTCTTTCTGTTTTGCTTTGTTGTTTTCTGTGCTGTATAGTCCAATTTATTGTCTACAATTCCATTAAAGTCTCCCATCATAACTATATTAGCATAGTTTCCTACTCATTTCAGACAATTCAAAATCTTCAGGTTCTTCTAGACCTTAATCCACTTGTGAAATAACCAATTGTAATTCCAAGTAAAAATAGTGAGAAAGAAGAAGCCAAATAATAACAATAATAATAATAAAAAATTTCTTCAGGTTCTTGTATACCTTAATCCAATTGACTGGTTAGATAGCAGTAAAAACTCAAAAATGGAAGAAAAGACCATAAACAAAAAAAAGGAAAAAAAAAGGTTAAATCCTGGAAAAGGCGGAAAAATAGAAAATAAAAAA